TAGTTAATTTTAAGTAAGAATTATTTGAAAATACCTGGTTTTCATTCTCCATCTCCTCCCTTTGTGTTTGGGTTAGAATTCTTCTTCTCTTGTACTGGAACCCGCTACTTGCTCCGGTGTTCTCCATGGCAAAGAGATGTGTGGTAGTTCTTGAAGGTATTCGAAGACGGTAAGCAATGTAGAACGAAGAGCAGAAGAGTTTCGATTGATGAAGGCGTATCGTTTCCGAAGACTGGTCGGGGGATTAAGGAGGGGTTGGGGCTTCAAACGACGCCGTTTGGCCTTTCTAAAAATCATCGTGACGCTTCGAAGGCAACCTAACGGCTGGTCGTTAATTTTAATATTTCCGTTTAATTTTTGAAGTAACGGTAATAAACAGTGACGTTTTGTTTCTTCGTTGGAAGGGCCTTTCTGTCATTTCCTCTCATTTTACGCAAGTAGAGCGGACGCGCCTCACGCGAATATGTGTTAGATATACGAGCGAACCTTTTTCTGCCCTTTTCCATAAATTTTCCCAAACTTACAATCCTCACTCTTCCATCTTCTTGCGGAACGATGATTTTCCGGCGAGCACTTGCCAACGTTCTAGGGGGACTCCGGCAATCGTCGTATGTTCCGTTATTCTGGGGAAGAAGTAGAAAAGGATCCATCTTCCCCTCCTATCCAGGTTGGTTGTTGTCAATTCTGTTTCTGCTGGTGTATTCTTCTGAATTTGAAGTCCGCTTACCCCATATAACCCAATTAACAATTACATGCATTTGGGGAGTCTCGTTTGATAAAAGATAGTTCTTAATGTAATTTTTGGTACACTCCTGAGTAGTGCATATAAGATGATTCCATTTTCCTTGTATTAAGGTGATTTTTAGGGGAAAATTATATGGCAGAACCAGATGTACTTTCTTCTTGAATCTTGATACATCATGGCAAACTTGTAGTTAAAAAAATATTTCAAAATGAACATTACGCTGCTTTAGAATGAACACTACGTAATTTCAGAATGAACACTATTTTGTTTCAGTATGAACACTATGCTGAGTAGTCTTCATAATGAAAACTACGGTTGAAAATAAGCATTCTGTTGATTCAAAATAAACATTCTTTTGATTCAAAATGAATATCTGCATGGTGTTCCTAGCTCTACATACAACTGGGTGTACAATATGCATTATCATTACTAGGAAGGAAATAAATTTCCACAATTTTTTGCATTTGCAGTTCTCCAGTCTATTAATCAACACGGCTTTGGAGGTGATAGTAGGCACCAATTCAAATGGATATTTCTATTTGGACAAGCTGGTACAATTTGGTCTCTTTGGTTACGTTCATTTTTAATTCTTAGAAGATTGATCTTTCACATATAGGTATCTCTTTTCCTTTTGAAACACATGTATTTTATGCATGCTTTTAAATGTGTATCAGAGAACCAACTTTTATGTGCTATTTATATAGGGACATGGGAATGGAACTAGTGAGGCACACACTGCTGGTTTTTGAATTTGAACTACCATATGATTTTTTATTTAGTCCCATTATCTTTGTGATAATGAACCTTTTTTGTTTAACATCTTCAGCTCATACAAATTTTCTCAAATTTCCCCCTTCTCCTTAGGTGTTTCTCTTTGGGTATATGAGTTGCATCATGGTTTTAATTGGTCCAATATTTTTAAAAACTAGACCGTTTCTTCTTGTTCCAAATTTTAAATGTTGCAACTTGTGACACTGTGACATGAACTGTTCTTTTCTCCTGTTTTTCTTTCAAGTAGAATTTTGATGAATATATGTTGATCACGTCTTTAAGAGTTTCAGCAGAGTTTGGTAAAATCAATATTAGTTTTCAAATGTTACATGTCTTTGTTCTCTCTGCGTAAATTTTATGTGTTAACATCAGACCAAAAGCTTATGTATGCTTTTTGAGGGTTCTCTTCTGGCCATTCTTTTTTCATAATGCATCTACAATTTTTGTTACTATATGTTGAGTTATGTTACCTTATGTACATATATCCTTTTCAAATAAACTCCAATATATCTTTGACCTGGACTGGATATGGTTAGGGCTCGGAAGATACCAAAATGCCTTTTTTGCATCAATGCTGTTTTTCACATGGAGTTTGGTGTTATATACTCTCTCCATCCCACTAGTTTATCTCATATTTCTTTTTTCATCCGACCCAGAATATTTGTCACTTTTCTTTTAAAGAAAATTATAACCCTTATTTTTTGTCTTCTTTTAAATAAAACTCAACCACACATGTTCCATATTTAATCTTTGTGCCAATGGCAATTGGAAAATTCGAATGGAACAAAGGAAGTATAATTTTGTTAAATACAGTGTTTCTACAAATATTGTATTGTACATTCGAGATATACCTCCCTGCACACTGTATTAGAAAAGATGATCTTTTCTCTTTCAGGGCTAGAAATATATTTTATGAAACACATTCCATTTATTTCTTACCGCAGCAATCCTTCTCGGAGGACAGACTTGTTTTGCAATGGCTGAAGATGTATCAACTCTAAGTTCTAAAGATGCAAATGAGGCGACAATAGCTGAATTTAAAAAAATTGAGGACGGTTCTATCACGTCCAATATTCACACTCAAAAGTGGAGAGTCTTTACAGACTCTGGGAGGGATTCATTTCTACAAGTAGGTGTTTCCTGACCTTTTTTGATGAGTTTCTAGTAAACTAGTGTAAGCTAATCTTTTTCCCAGCTTCTATTATTAATGCAACTCATGCCTCACGGCCCTCACCTGCACTTCGGTTCCTATTTTGACCAGGGAAAGTTGGAGCACGCCGAGAAACTTTTTCTGTCTGCCATCAAAGAAGCCAAAGAGGGTTTTGGGGACAGAGATGCACATGTAGCATCTGCCTGTAACAATTTGGTGAGCCTGCATTTTGCTTGTTTTTTTCTAATGTTCTCAAGACTCATTGAATCGTGTTTTGCTCTATGCCCTAATTTTCTCTTCTGAAAAGTCTTTTTTTGTTTCATGTCCGTTTCACTTTGTCTTTTAGCTTTCATGCTTTCTTAAATTTCTTCTCTTCGGATGCCTTCTCTTAGCCTTTCTTGTTACTAGTCCTCTATTCTGCAATTATTCATTATTTGCTCTATTTCTGCCAAAGTATTTCAACTATCTTTTTGGGTAGTTTCTAAAGGTATGATATGTGTAACAGGCAGAGCTATATAGAGTAAAAAAGGAATTTGGAAAAGCAGAACCACTGTATTTGGAGGCAATCAGTATCCTTGAGGAGTCATTTGGACACGAGGATATACGGTAAATGTTACTACGGTAATTCTTTAAGGTTGTGGAGTTGTGGGGCTATGCACTTGTATTGTAAATACTTGCTTTTTGTTTGTACTTGGACAGACTTTTTGCTCATAAATCTTTTTTGTATAGGTGTTATTAAAGTTGTAATTGCAAATGGGAACCTGCATATTTCTCAGTTGCAATTGCTTGTTCTTCACACCACATATTTTTTTATTTGCGATCCTGAGGCATGTAATCATATTAATGTAATTTGTACTGTTCATCTAGGGTTGGGGCAGCCCTTCACAATTTAGGTCAATTCTACCTCGTGCAACGAAATTTGGAGCCAGCTCGTGTTTGCTATGAGGTAATTCTGCTAAAGAAACAGGAGATATTTTTCTCTCATATCTTTCGTAGGAGATGCGATCGTCCTTTAATGAAGTTTTCCCTAAAGACACATTCTGGTGTTTTGCAGTATACGGAGTACTACGTATTAGATATGCTTGTTAAGGCTATATATAATTAATCTTTTCACACACACACACACATACATATCTGTGTGTGTGTGTGTATATATATATATATATATATATTGAAGGAAAATTTCATTTTTATTAGGGGACAAGCCCAAAACAAAAGTACAGAAGAGAGAAGAAAGAAAGAATATATAAAAATAAGATGATGATCTGAGCATCCTAAAAAAACAAACAAAACAAACAAGGAAACAAAGGGCAAAAAAGAAAAGCCAAATACACCCAAAGCAGCCCACTTATTGATTCCAAGCATTGCACTAGCACCTTGCACCGATCAATATCAGCAGTAGATAACCAAAAAGCTTCACAAACCCAAAAACAATAATAGATAACCACTAGCACCTTGCACCGACACCCAAAGCAATGCTTCAAAAATCCTTGAAATTTGTAGTAGCAGACCAAAAATCAGCAACATAATCCAACACAAGCTAAGTCTCAAATAAAATACCCATCCTCCCTTTAAGGCCCTGCAGTTAAATCTCTTCCACCCCGCTGAGAGATTCCAAAGAAGGCTCTAGCATGTAGAAGGACACCCAAATCCAGATTTAGCACCAAGCATTCCAAACCCCAGCCTGTTAGTGCCTCAAAGTGTATATCATACAAAAGATGCAGGAAACTGCTCAAAGTTAAAATTCCCTTCTTTTTTCTTTTTCTTTGGCTAATGCAGCAATAGAAAACAAAAACAAAAACTACAGACGAAATATCAGAATACCTCCATCAAACTTTGTCTCCACTAAGCTGAAATCCAAGGACACTGTCTCAACACCGCTGCTCAAGACCAAAGTTTTAGTAAACCGTGTTTCAAAAACCCCAAATATCATCATAAGTTTGAGAAAGCTCAGATCAAATAGGGGATGGAGGGAGTCTACGCCTAGCAAGTCTGAGACTTCTTCTTGGGGCAGGGCCGCAGGGGGGCTAGTTCCTCTGACGCATCCCCTCTCAAAGATGATCCGGCCTTGATCACTATTGCGTATTAAGGCAGCAGTAAGTCCCTTTGGTCCTGCCCAGCATTGAAGATGTTCATCGGGCTTGATACCGTCATCCGGGTACCCACATTCTTGCCGGGTCAGGATCAAACTCCACGTTATCTCTGAAAAAGGCTTGGAATTCAAAGTTATCCTCTTTCACATAAAGCTCATTGTCTGAATGAAAGTCTTGGCACATTCATTCCTTTTAACTTTCAATGAAAAAGGAATGAATATAAAGTTGCACATTCCTGACTCAGGTTTGCATGACCGGTAAGGATGCTGATGGTTGATGCACAAGAAAATCCTTTTAACTTTCAATGTATGTTCTAAATGTCGTTAAATTGAAGAGAGAAATCCTTTTCATGCTATTGACAGTACCTATTATAGTGATCTATGTGCTAAATATGCTCCATATGCAACATAGATATCAAATGACTTAATAACACACGTGTTATACTCTTCTCAATTTGTTTATCAGTAATTAGTTGGTAGTAAACTCAAATGCATAGCAAAGTATTGACAGAAAGATAAGTTTTTTTTTTCATATTAGTTACTCAAATATATTTGATCAGTTGATGCAGTTTAGAACTGGCACACTCATATTATTCAATTACTTTTGAAGGCCAGAGTCGCTTGGAAGGATAGACCTTAGCCTTAGACCATACCAAAACTGATAGTTTATGCCAAGTGCCTCCTCAACAAATAGTAACCAAATATCTTGTCTTTGAGCGGGATGAACCTGGTCCCAAGGGGTCAAATTGTCATGTTCATGGGTCACATGGCATCTTATTGGACCCACACTTCAGCTTAGGGTGGAAGTTTACTATGGCGTTGCTCCCTTTCTAGTTGGTTAGGAGGAACACACTGAACTGAGTGAAAAAGAGAGAGTTTTGGAGTTTTTTAATAGAACTCTAACTACCCTTTTCAATTCATTTTTCCAAAACCCCCCTTTACAGAGCAAATATAATGCATAGAGTCTTGCAAACCACAAAGAAACTAATTTGGAAACAACAACTTGAGTTAAATAGGAAACTAAAACTAATATCATGAAGATTCCTATACCCGTTTCGTTCTTTGAGCCCGTCCATGACCCAGTGTCACAAATCATTTGCTTGACCTGGCTTTTGTAAAACAGATATGGAGTAACAAGTTTTTCTCAAGTTGCCAAGTTGGATAATTGAAATTGAATTTGAATATCTCACATTTCTTTCCTGAAAGTATTTGATTTGTTTAGGTCTCATACAGATATATTTTATGATGAGAAAGGTGCCCCACTTGACTTTGTAGATGCACATACTTATTCATAGAGTGCATTGCATGCAGATTAAAATTTAAAATGCATCTCTCAATTACTGATGCCATTTTTTTGTCCAATGTCCTTTGACAGCGTGCTTTAAAGGTATGTGGCTAATGGATTAGCTTTAAGCTTTTCACATATTGCTATTAATGCTTCTTGTGCTGTCTAACATTCACATGTTTAACTGATCAGATAAAGAGGCGGGTCTTGGGGGAAGCTCACCCTGACTATGCTGATACAATGTATCATCTTGGAACTGTAATGTCATGTTATTTATTCTAACTTTATTTATATTTGGGTGAACTTTATGGGAAAGGGTTAGAAAACAAGGGCCCGTTTGGTTAGCGTAGGAGATATGTGTTTAATATAGTGATATCATAACCCATTTGTTGGTGTTTGTTGAAGCCTAAACATGGTTTGGATTTGATATCTCCTGATATGACAATCCCTCCAAATGGGGGTGTTTTGATATCTCCCTAAACTGCCGGCCACCACCGCCTCTAGCCACCCACCGTCACCGGTCAACCCCTTCACTGGCCACCCTTACCTTTCTCTAAGACACTAACAACCATATCAGATTTCAGATCTCTCCAAATACTTTGATTTAAGATTTCAGAACCCATATCATTTACCCTCGATTTTAGAATTTATATCATATCAACCCTGCTTCGCTCACCAAATGGGCCCTTTGCTAACTGATGGATATATATATCCTTTTATGTGAAGTAGATTTTAGATGTTATGTATCCTTTTTAAGGCCAGGACGTATATGCATGTTAGCGTCAATTTAAACCTTGTTTTAAATCAATCATGCCTACAAAATAAAACGGATCTCGTTTATCTCAGGCGAAGTGCAGTTTGAAGTCTTGATCTCATGCAGTTTTCTACATTAGGTTATAAAACACTTAGGTTTTCCTTTCCATTTATAAGACAATCAAAATGTTGCAGTTCCTCCAATTTATACTGCTAATCTGCTATACATTCACAAATTCAGTTGACACTCAATTCTTGCATGCTGTTTGTGTTTCAGTTATCATTCTTGATGTACTGGGACATTGGTTTTCAAAAATCATTTTGTTGGTAGAAAACAGCTAAAGTGGTAGAATTGTCAAAATTTCTATACTGACCGAAGGCACTAACAAAATTCCAGGTTCTACGAATCCAAGGGAAAGAGAAAGATTTTGAGGATCTTGTTCTGGAATCCATTCGAATTCTTGAGGTTTAGTATAAGTTACCAAGACAGTGATTGTGAACAGCCTATTGTTGGATACAATTGAGTTTTTTTCTTGTTGTGTTTGACAAGTTAGGAGGGTGACCAAGGTGAATCCTACATATGCACCAAACGGATGCGTCATCTTGCCGAGGTTATGCTTCCACTTGTTCATAAGATGCTTCATTGGAATGTCCGTTTTGCAGGAATTGAAAACTAAGGCCTGAACATGGCAAGATACAGTTGTAACATCTATGCATATACTTAGTTCAGCTAATTGATGTTGACAGTTTTGAGGAATTGACTTCTTAAGGAGTATATGATAAACTCTCTTGGTATTGGAATGTGTTCAGGCATGGTTAATTGAACTGTCTTATTGATGATCGTAATTAGTAAATAATGGCAATATGATCTTTATATGGTGCTGTCATAGGCCTAATAATCTTAATCATAGTCTAATTAGGATAATGTAGATAAATAATACTCTAGCAACTGGTTCTATTGAATTCCAGGCTCTACGATCCCACACGTTCAACACTCAAAATGGCCCAAAGTACTGCTAGCTATCATCTGAAAGGCCCTTCTCGCAACTGATTTGTGCTTAATTGTTGAAGATTTAAGTGAACCAAATCTCCTTTTGTGACTCCTCAATGATGCTTGTTGCGAACTGCTTCATACAAATTCTTGAAATCTCAAGCTGTTCTTTGAACTCCCTTAAAGCAAAATCATATGCCTTAAATGCCTTTTCCACCTCATGGACGATGGCAGCTCCAAAATTATAATGGACTAGAGCAGTGGACAACAACAACATTACCTTAGCGCCTCAAAGACTCCCGCTCATTTCTGGGTAAGGGGGTTGGATGTACGCAGCGTGACCCCGATGTTTAAAACATAGAGTGGCTCTTTACGGATGACCCATGATGAGAAGCACATACAGTTCAAAGAACCATTTTGCTTTATTCTATCATCGGAGATGATGGAAAAATAGACTAGAGCAGTGGGTCTTTCATAAACTGCTTGGAGTGAAGTTGTTCATAAGGATTCATGATATCTTGTGTTTTACCAATATTCTCCCCTGGCTAGAATATGTTTCCATTGTCATGGCCTCAAGTGTGCTTGAGCTGAGGTCTCCTGGAAACAGCCTTTCTACTTTCGAGTAGAGGTAAGATTTTTGTACACACCCCCTCCGAGTCTCCGACACCCTACTTTTTGTGGGATTTTACTGGGTTTGTCGTTGTTGTTGTTTGTTGTCATGGTTCCAAGAACACAAAAAATCTGAGATATTGTTTGAGGCAGCAGTCAATCCCTGGTCTGTCAGTCCATCTCGGGATGATAATTCCTGTCAAAAGTTGCTGAGGAACAGTTGATCTCTGTCAGATACACTTGATTGTAGGACTCAAGACCATTTCATCACTCCTTTCACGAATATTCTGAAACTTCTTTTGCCAAAAACAGGTGGGTACGGCATGAAATGAGCAATTGAGCATACTTTCTCAAGCGATATAAAACCACAAGAACAGTGTCTTATCCTCTTGATTTAGGAAAGCATCCAATCAAACCCATCTTTATATCAAATCATATCTGATTCAGTCTTATTTTGATGACAAGTGTCACAATGTTGCACATACTCATGAACATTTTTTTCTCATCCCATGCCATAAATTTTTTTGAGACAAGTTGTTAGAAGTTCCAAGTACGCTTGAGTGTCATGGGGGTGAGTTATGGACTTCAAACATCAATTGGTCATGAATTTTTTGTGTTAGCTTGTACTTAACGTTCCCACCCTGCAGAGTGCAACCTCTTTCTACTTGATTCCCCCCAACAGTTTGTCAATAGTTCAATCATGATTTGTGGAAGTCTTGGGTAGTCGGGTCCTTGGCAATAGCTAGTGTCAACTCTTCCCATGTTACCCACATGGGCTGCACAATAACCCACACTTCCTTCTTGGTCTGATTGGCTTCTCAGTTTGTTTCCTCACGCCATGACAAAAGATCTGCTGCACGATTGCTTATTCATGGTTTGTGCATAACCTCATATTGACATATTCTAATATGAGCAACTTGCATATCCTTTTCTATTGTTCTGGAGTTACTATTCGCCGTTTCTTCAGGTATTTAAGAGTTTCCTGGTTGGCATGGTTTTTGAAGGCACTTGAGGCGGTCCGCCTTGAGGTGGTGATGCTTAAAGGAGGTGGGTTTAAGCCTCATGTTCGTATTTCGAAGCTTACGTCCTAGGGGGATGAGGCGTATGAGGCGCAAGGCTTAAATGAGGGAGGCTTAAGCTTCAAACAGTGGTTGCCTGTTAGTATACATGCAGAAATGCTGTCTCAACAAATAGGGTCTGCACGTCAGAACACCTTCAAGTATCACAAGTATTGTTTTACTTCGTACTAATATACGCAAGAGGTCTTCCACCTTGCATTATTGCATATGTATAACACCTATTCCTCCCCTGTATGAATGGCAAACATTCCATTAAAATTAGGCAAGGCCAATACTGGGGTGCTGGTCATTGCATACTTTAGAGTTTGAAAGGTCTTTTCCGCTGCAGCACTCCAATTGAATCACCCCTTTTAAGTAATTCTGTTAGGGATTAACTATCTCCCCATAGTGTTGAACAAACTTTCTATAGTAGCCTCACAGGCCTAAGACTCTTCTTAAGGCCGTGACAGTGGTTGGTGCAGGCCAACCTATCGTGGTTGTTATTTTCCTTTGATCCACCTGTACTCCTTTGCTCGAAATTAAGTGACCCAGGTCACCCAACTATTCAACTTCTAGCTGGCCAAAGGAACATTTAGCCGTTTTAACATAGAATTGATGTTGGTGCAGAATCTCAAAAGTTATTTTCAGATGTCCCATGTGTTTTTTCCAAGAATGTGTGAATCGTGATCTATTTCCAAAATTTGTTTGAGAGATAGATAGATAGAATTATAGAAGGGTTGCTTCTTTACTTGCTCATTCAAATACTTGGTTATCAGAGTTGTAAGGATGTGAATTTCAAAATATTATGCATTCTTTGATGATTGATTGCACTTTATTTGAGCATTTTATGATGATATTTCATAGTCCATTGGATACATAGTTTGCAGTTCTCATGTTCCTCATCACTGAATCCCAAAATACTTGTGACAATTACGTCACAATTTACTCCTTTTTACATATATATTTGAAGTCCAATACCAAATGAACTAACATCTTTATTACAGATATATTTGAAGTCCAACCGAATTGCCGAGGCAGTAAACCTACAGAGAAAGATCTTGCATATAATGGAACTATCAAAGGTTATCAACTTCATGATCTTCTTTAATCTTCTGAATTATACTGTCTTGGGCCCCCTATCAGATTAGTTAATGCATGTATGCATGTTTTTCCTATTACATTTCTACTTTTTTTTGGTATGTCCAATTTGCTGACAAGATAAAACCACAACACCAAATAACTTTTGACAAAGCTATTGAGGCTTTATCAGGCCTGCAATGTAACCAATACAAAATTGGTTTGGCTGAGTATAGCATTGGCAGGCACGCAAAGCTAATTTAATATAAAAAAATTGGGGTGATGTAATTTATGTCATGACCCATGATTTGCATGTTGGTCTTGTAAATATCAATTATTTTATGGACATGAGGCAAAAGTAAAATTATCAAATCATCACTATTTATGTTATCTTCCATGCATGCGGAATTAACTTCTGATGATGACGGTTGTAGAATTTTCATCTCAGTATGCCTTCTTATGAAGGTTGCATAAAACATTGCCACTGTATTTTTCATGATATCAGTGTTAATTTTTTTTAGTTCAATTATTTTGCACTATAAATTTAATGTCACCGACCCTAACTACTTTAGGTGTAAGATGCTGATAGTGATGATGATGATGATGGTCGCAGTGATTTTAAATATATAGTTCTGCTCTAATATTCACAACTGCATGTCAAAGGATGCGTCATATTTGATTCAAAATTGTGCAACAAATTGACATGCTATCATCCAGAGCTGTTATCATTTCTGATGATATTTCCTGTATCTATTAAATGTGCACTTTTATGTCTAAAGTTGTTAAATTAGCAGTATGGACTTTCAACTGATGATTTCTTGTTCCTTTCTTTGCTATTGCTAAATAACCCCATTCTTATTAAAATCCTTCCATTGTTTGTTGATGGTCAGGGATGGGGATCTCTAGACACCATAGCTGCCGCAGAACACCTTGCTTTATCCCTTCAGAATCTGGGGAACTTAACAGATGCTCAACAGCTTCTAGAAAGGTGATTTGAGAATTTAAGTTAATTTTTGATAGGTTAGAGTTTTCTGCACTTCCTGCTTAGTTTAATTTGCTTTAAACATCTGGTGCAGGTGTCTTGATTCTCGGAAAACTCTACTCTCTGAGGATCACATTGAGGTTTGTGAAATTTTAAACTAGAGCAAATAGCCAAAAGTCGATGCTTAGTTAAATAGATCATCAAAACTGCTTCAGAAACCAATTAAGGTATAAGCTTCAATCTAATTGGTCAGATGGATGGCCAAAGCATAAAAACGTGACATTTAATGGTTTGATCTCCCAATTATGCAGTAATTATTGATTTAGTCTCTGAATTATGTGTCAGAATATAACTTTTGAGTTATCAGTGATGCGAAATCAGTTTGTGTGGTCAGACACATTAAATCTATGGACCATGGTTAAGTGTACTGTGTACATGCTCCTGATTTTCTAGGGTGGTCCTGTTATGTTTTACTTCAGAATCTCACCAAGGACATGTGTGCTTTCTGTGTTCTCATTGTTTTGGGTCTCATCGCGTGTGTCAGTGTGTGTACTTCAGTACTTGTCTCTATGCTCTTACTTTGTTTGTGGCTTTATGCTACTGTGTTTACTCTGTCTGTGATGCTGTGTTGAGCCGGGGGTCTCTTGGAAACAACCTCTCTACTTCCAAGTTTCAAGTAGGGTTAAACTTTGCGTACAGCCGTACACACAGTCCCCAGATCGCAGTGCTGTGGGATTTTACTGGGTTTGTTGTTGTTGGTCTTGTTATATATGTTTAGTCATGCAAGCATATCTTGGAATACAAGAGACTTTATTTACTTAATAATCTAAACATGCCCAATTAGTTTTATCATTTACAGTAGTTGTGGACTTTTCGCGGTAAACATTTCCCCTTTAGATTGTAAAATTTTGACAGGTTAATCTTATGTAGTTCTTTTTAGTAGATTGCATGCAATTTGCTTCATATTGCTAGACTGAAAATGCTCAGCTCCAACAAACTAAGGAAGACAAATGTTCTTCAAGCAACCACTGAGCTTGATATGGCAAAGGATCTTTTAAGCACGTCGATTAGGTACATCCGTATTACCTTCTGTATTTTTTTGTTTTGTTTTGTTTTGTATCATAGTACCTAGCAAATTTAAATTCGAAGTCAAATTCGTGACTACACTATGCATTTACAATTTTTTTCTGATGAAACACGTGATAACAGTTACTATGAGTATCACTCTGTCCCTCAAAACTGTCCTACTCAACAACCCCTGTCATCTTGAATAAATTGAATGTTTCTCTGGGTCAATTATCATGAACTAAATCTTTCAAGATACACTTCATATTAATGAAGGATGGAAGAGAATGCTGTTTATATATGGAGGGTATGGAATTATGCAGAGCGGTGCATTAAAACAATTTATTAGAGCTCTGTGGACTGTGGGGTTGTGGGGATTTAGGATATGTCAACTTATAGCTCACATCTATGAATTTATCTCTCTATGCACCCGATATGATTGAGATTGAGATAGGCATTAAGTTGAGTGTTATTCTCTATGTATATAATTCAAATATCCAATGATAGCACATTTATGCTTTGTGATTTGTTAATATATAACATCTACTTTTGGAATGGATATTTTTTCTTCAATGCAGTTTGTGCAAAGAAACTTCTTGTTAGACATTCTAGCTAATCATCTATTGTATCATTTTTAAATGGTGCATTTATATAATTTTGCTTGAGTTTTGAAAATAGGATGCAATTATTTCTTTGTGATTAAGTGATTAACCGTATCCAGGAAACTGCTTGATACACAAGTAATAATCTTATCAATTTCTTCTTGTTTTCTGCCAATTTTTTATCCATATTACTTTTGGTCATAGGGTAGCTCGGAAATATCTATCTCAAACAATCAAAGCAGGACAGAAGACGCCTTCTGGAGTGCCCAGGCAAACTGGAAGAGATCGGCAGTTTGCGCTAATGGTCCTGGTCAGTTTACATGTTTCAGTATTTCCTCAGTTGAAAAAAGGGAAAAAAACTTCAATACATTGTCACTTTGAAGATTTCATGAACATTTCTCTCTCAAGCTGTGCTAGAAATCACATCAACATGCTGAAAAAGTTGAGAACTTGTTTTTTTGTTTATTTCTTCTACATCGAGCGGAAATTTATTGCTCTATGTTAGAGTCTATCCCACACCGGAAGTTGAATAGAAAAGTAATCGATATATATGCTCTTGAGTTGAACGAGGTAATCGATTGGATTCAATCTTTTAATGTGGTTCAACCCAAGTGTCTTATGGCCCAATCCACTTATCCTTACCCCATCTAAAATTCTATGATGGTATCAGAGCCAGTTTTAGCCCACCTCATTTGTTAACGTGTCCATCTAGACGTTCATTCCTAACAGCCCCAGTCTTTAGCCCAATTGTCCGTGTGGAATGTATATCCAACGACACGTGGCCTATTTAACCCGATTGCTCGTTTGGAAGTCCATACCAGTGGCTCGTGGTCATTTAGGTGTTGGCTCTCAAAACAAAATCGAGGGGGTGGGTCCATTTGCAAGTGGTCAACCGGTTAGATTCAAAATGGCCCGGTTGTCCATTTGAGGGGGAGTGTTAGAGTCTATCCCACATCAAAAGTTGAATAGAAAAGGAATCAATATATATGCTCTTGAGTTGAACTAAGTAATCGATTGGATTCAATCTTTTAATGTGGTTCAACCCAAGTGTATAATGGCTCAATCCAGTTTTCCTTACCTCATCCTAAATTCATTTTATCAACTTGTATTACATTCACTTTTTTTTTTCTTTTTGCTTATTGTTCTGCTTACCTTCTCTGAGAGAAGCCTTCAACAAAAAAGAACTGATTGATGGCATAAATTTCATTTTGATTCAATCAATGGAATTCATTCAAACAAATGAGCACATACAAATTAAGGACTAGTGAAGTGTATCAAGAATGGAGAGGGAAATATATTAGTTAAAGAAGATGCCTTAAAGGAATATTGGAAATGTTTGCTTCATACATAGTAAGTTCTTTAGGCTATGCTTGCATCCCGGAAAATCTTAGGGAAAGGAAAGAAAACGTCAAGGAAATGTATCTTCATATGCTTGGTTTTACCTCTGAAAATGCAGAGAAAAATGAAATATGATTACTTTAAAAAAGTTATTTCTATATGTTCAGATTTCCCAGTATTTATATAATTTAAATGAAGAAAAACATGAATTGGAACAAATTTCAATAAATGTTTTTTTAGTATAGACTATAGAGTATAAACTGATATTTTACTCCCTCTGTCCTTGAAAAAAGTCAAAAATTGAAAGAACAGAAAAAGTTAGAAAACATCATTTATTTATTGTGTCTCATTAATATTTCTGCTGGAACTTTGTACATTTATTGTTGGTAATCATCATCAAAGTTTTTTCATTGGTTATCGTTTGTTGGAATGTTGGGTTTGTGGAGGCTTGGGCTTGTCTTGTTGGCCCAGCCCATTTTATGTAACCCTAGGTTTTTTCCTTCTCCTATATATTGAGCCCTTGTACTTGTAATTCCGGTGAGACACGACAAGTGAAATAGACATCCTCTTGTTGCAGCCGTGGAGTAGGGAAACCAAACCACGTTAAATTCTTGTGTGTCGTCCGTGTTCCATTTCTCTCGTTTCTCGCAGATTATTTGTGTGTGTGTTGTGTGTTTATTTCCCAACAAGTAGTATCGGAGCTAGATTGTTCAACACGGACACAAATTGCGAGTTGTTACCCAGGGTTTTGGGATCTGTGCGCAGTCGCCGGAGGGCAGAGGGAGCACAGAGGGAAGCCGCTGAGAATCGCCGCTGACCAAGTCGCCGTCGAGTTCGCCGCTGGGTCTTGAACCGCGGCGAGGAAGATCACTGACGTCGCGACTGCGTGTTTCCGCCGTCGAGCTCCCAGATCTCCGCCGCCGTTTGCGTATAGACCGCCGCACGCAGAGCAGCGGAAGAAGGAGCCGCCGCTGCGTGGAGGAGCCGCATCGCCATATCGAAGCCGCGCCGTTTCAAATCGTGTTGCCGTCCGGATGTGAAGTCGTGCAAATCGAGGAATTGTTCCAAGGTCGCTCAGCCGCCGTCGTCTACTTGTGGTGCCGCCGTCGTCGGGAACCGTCCATCCGAGATTGTGCAGAGCCTCCAACCCAGTTGCTGTAGCACCGCCTACCTGCGAAGAAGAAAAGCAGGTTGACCGAAGAAAACGTAATAGGAAAAAGTAGGCAGTGGGCTAATTTGTTTTTAATTGGTCAGCCACTTTATTTGGGCCTAGCTTGTGGTTTTATTTTGGACTGATTGGTTTGGAGTGGTGGGCTTGATTTTCTGACGGGAAAATACCAAGATCTGAAATTAGTTGTACCGGGTATCTCGTCTAGTCGTTTGAGATAGCAGAAGACGGGAAGTTCCGAATTGAGAATTTCGATGGTACAGATTTCAGTTGGTGGAAGATGCAAATTGAAGATTTGCTGGTTCAGAAAGATTTGGATGTGGTTTTGGGTGACAAGCCAGAAAAGATGTCGGATGCAGATTGGACAGGTTTGGATCAGAAAGCAATGTCCGTGATCCGTCTCTCGTTGACCAAGAATGTTGCGTTCAACATTCTGTAGGAGAAGACAGCGAAAGGAATTATGGACGCGGTGTCTAACATGTACGAGAAGCCATCTACCGCGAATAAAGTTTTTCTGATCAGAGAGCTGGTGAACACGAGGATGAAAAATGGCACTTCAGTTACCGAGCATATCAACAAGTTGAATTCGATCTTAGCCAGACTTTTGTCAGTGGGCATTAAGTTCGATGATAAAGTTCAAGCTTTGCTAATGCTATCGTCTTTACCTGATAGTTGGTCCGGAATGGTTACAGCGGTTACCGGTTCAGTGGGACTTGATGGATTCACCTTTGATCAGATTCGAGATCTCGTTGGCGAAGACGTCAGAAGAAAGAGTTCTGGGGAGTCATCTGGTGAATTGTTACATGTTGGCAGATGCAGAAGAAATAGCAGAGGTAGTGGGAGCAGGCACAGACGAAGGAGTCAGTCGAAGACTCGGGATAGCTCAGGCGTAACGTGCTGGAAGTGCAAGGAGGTGGTGCATTTTAGGAATCAATGCCCGAATGATAATAAAGTGAACATTGCTAAAGGCTCTGCGAGTGACGAGGAGGTCACTCTGACTTGCTGTGAGGAAAGCAATGCGGATTCCTGGGTCATGGATTCTGGTGCTTCATTTCATGCTACCCACAGCGGTGAAGCATTGCAGAATCTAGTTGTTGGGGACTTTGGAAAGGTACGACTAGCAGATGACAGAGCTCTTGATGTGACGGGCATGGGTGACATAGTGCTGAAGACCCCAGTCGGTTTCTAGACTTTGAAGGATGTCAGCCTTGAAGAAAAGTTTGATTTCTGTTAGGCAGTTGGACGAACAGGGACACGAGGTGAAGTTCGGAAACGGGCAGTGGAAGGTCGTGAAGGGAAATCTTGTCATGGCCCGCGGAAGGAAGAGTGGTCGCTGTACATGGTCGGGTTACCGTCTGAGGGAGTGACCGTCCCAGTTCAAAAGAGAAACAATGTCCGGTTCACAGAGTCTCGTGGGCAGAAGAAGGTTCTCTGTGCAAGAGAGAAACCTAGAGCCACTGGTCAGACTCAAGATGAACGAGCGTGGAAAGGTTCATAGGGGCCAGTCAGAGGTATTTGTGGCAGTGGGAGCTCAAGAGGCGCTTTAGCCAAGTTGCCTAGAAGACAGTGGGTCAGGAGAACCAGTATTCCAGCTGTTGGAACATCTCCAGAAAATTTCTTGCTGAGTACAGAGAGTGTTTATTCTCAGGATGTTCCAGGATCCGGCAGTGTGCATCTGCAGTGGAAGCCGGTAGGGACCGAGGACGAGTCAGGGGCAGATTTAGCCGTGACTGATGTGTTGGAGCTTGGGAGAGCTTCAACGGGCCTTTCAGTTGTCTGATGATGGGGCCGCTGCAACAGGAGAGCAGAGGAAGATTACTCGATGTACAGGCAATCGTGGTGGATGGTAGTTGATGACTATCAAGCCTCCAAGTGGGAGAATGTTGGGTTTGTGGAGGCTTGGGATTGTCTTGCTGGCCCATCCCATTTTATGTAACCCTAGGTTTTTTTTCCTTCTCCTATATATTGAGCCCTTGTACTTGTAATTCCGGTGAGACACGACAAGTGAAATAGACATCCTCCTGTTGCAGCCGTGGAGTAGGGAAACCGAACCACGTTAAATTCTTGTGTGTCGTCCGTGTTCCGTTTCTCTCGTTTCTCACAGATTATTTGTGTGTGTTGTGTGTTTATTCCCCAACAGGAAGATGCAATAATCAATTTCTAGGTTGTCTTAAATAGTAATATGGCGCAATTACAAAGTGGATTTGACAAGTATTTTGTGACATACTCCGTAAAAAAGTTGAAAAGTTGACACTCTTTTAGGAACAGAGGGAGTATTTTACTCAACATTTTCTTTCTTCCCAAATTTTTCTTACAGTTTCCTCCATGGTTTCTTGCCCGGGCATTTCCCGTGGTCCAAACGGACCCTTAAGTTTGATTGGTTTGCTCCAAATGAGCATACTCGCATTCCCTTTCTTAGAACCGCCAATGTTCTTATTCTTGTCCTGGGAACAAACAGCCACCTCCCTAAGAGGGATGAAGAAAGGCATAGTGAAGAAATCAAGTTTACATAGTATCCCTCTTTTCATGTCAGCCGAAACATTAATTGTCCCATTGCAATTCTAAATTCTGGTTCGATGTTCCTGCAGTTGCAATCACTTAATGCTCTTGCTCTGTTGGAGGTGGCAAAGGCGGAACTTGAGAATTCGAAGGTCGATGCCCTTTCTGTGATTCTCTTATAGACACCCTTTTTTCCCCTTTCTGTTGCAATATGAAGTGATTAAGGTACCAATTATGTGGTAGTTGTTCATGTAGTAATTTCTACCAAAATCTGCTGTCATCTGAAACAGGTGGATTGTCTTGTCAACAATGAAGCTGAGAGTGCTCTTCGTGAATGCATTTCTGCTTTCAGGGAGGTATGTGTGACAATTAATGAAGAAACTTAATTAGAAATCAAAGTATGATTGTTTGATTTAGTCCCATGATAATGTTTCATCTTGAAACAGCCTCTCTGTTTTTTATTGCCGGGGTAAGGTCGTGTACATCTTGATTTTACTCCATCCATTGTTGTTGATTATGTTTCATTTCATTTATGATTTTTTAAAGCATTATTAACTGTATTACAGTGTAGTATCTGTACATACATACATACTTTTTCAACTTACTGAACACAATGGGTCAAGATTCAATCCAAGGTTATGCTGCTCGACCACAACGTTTTTAGCTCATTTCATTCATGATAGAAACACTAATAATGGCTGAAGAGTTTTTTGTTGAGATGATTTTTCACTTGGTTGCTTTTCACCATCATCATCATGCGCAATTGTGCTTTGCTTGAACAAATGACTTGGGCTTTTGCAGTATGAGACAGAAAAATCACTGCCTGCTCAAGTTCCTCATCAAGTCAAAGCTGAGTACCTATCATGCTTGAAGTGTCTGTTAGGCCTAATAATGGGTGGTGGCAGTGGTGATGGCAAAACCCAGCAGATCACTGATCAGACCAGAAGAGCAGATCTACAACAGCTGAAAGACGAAATTAATCGCATTGAAGGGGAACTCATCAGCAGAAGGAAGACAGATAAACAAGTTTAATTTACTGAAATTTATTTTATTTTTATTTTAAAAAACATTTTGAATAAATATATACTCTATAAAGCATTTTTTTAATGACCAATGCCTTCTTTACCTAATGGATATTATGTTAATATCATTTTTCCCTCTATAAGTTTCAATAATTCAATTATTCAAAGAACACTGAATATTTTTCTTTTTCTTCATGATTACAAGGACAATGAACATTGTGGGCATTGACCATCCAAATTTGGGTATGGGTAAGTGTCACTGGACATCGAAATCGTGACAATGTCTTGAAGATGAACTAATGGACATTAATTAGAGGCATTGTGGTGACACTGGAACCACAGTGAACATTGGAACCACGGTAGTCATTTAAATGACAATGACCGGACGTAGTAACTACGGAGTATTTTCTTACTTTGCAATTTGGATTGCTCCAAAATTTCTTCCACTTTTTTTAAAGAATAAAGTTATATTGCCATAACATTTTTTTCTTTTACCCAAACAAAAGTCAGACAAAGACCTTGGTTGGGAACAGTATTTTTTATTAGCATTAGCGTTGGATAGAATTTTAATGGTGCAGATTAATTTTGAAAACTCTTACGCTAAAGGCTATTGTCGGATAATGTTTTCAAAATGCTAATGCTAACCACTAATGCTAATGCCAAACGAGACTAAATTCTACATAATTTCATCCGTCCTAAAAATAATTTTCAGCTAAGGATTTAAAATAACCAAAAGGGGGCAAATAATTTTTTTTAGTGGGGGCATGTTTATTTTTAGACTAATTTATAATACTAATTAATTTTACTTGAAATATCATTGGGGGAAAGTGCCCTGGTGTTTATATATTGAATCCACTTTTTTAGACATAATCAAACTTTATTTACTTTGTTTATTTTTTTAAACTATAAATAACTAATATAATACTCCCTCCGTCTAAAAAACTCATTCCACGTTAATTTCTTGTTTTACTTGTCTTACAAAATCATTTTCATTTCTTTTAAAAACTCACCTTTACTCCTACTCATTCTTAATATACCTATCACATCATAATTTTTTACCAATAATCTAAACATTACATTCTACTTTTACTTATCACATAAAGGTATTTTTGGAAATTCTAAAACTTTTTTAAAGCATTTATTAAATATGTAAATTTATTTTTAAATTTTATATATATATATATATATATATATATATATATATATATATATATATATATATATATATATATATAAATCAAATAAATTAAATAAAATATACTCCTTCCGTCCTATAATAATCTTCCCGGTTCGCAAAATGAAGAAAAATCTCAAATTTTTTCAATCTATTTTATTTAAATATTGGTATAGAAATAAAAAATAAAACATACATATTTAAAAACTACACCAAAAGTTCAACAAAACAAGTGGTGACAAGAATATTTTATTTTATTATATAGGCCATGAAAAAACACAAATAAATATAAATTCCCGTGAAGTTGGAATAGTGTTATGGGAAGATCATTATAGGACAGAGGGAGTAATGAATGGATGGATGAAGGTGGCAACGCTAAGTTTAATTTGTCTGTGGGTTAACAAAGACCCCATGGTGCCACCCAACGATCTAACACACATACGGAGCATATATAGCATTACCCTTCAATTCAAGATTTAATCACGGGCCCATGCAACCCAATCAATAAGCCTTCGCGAACATTATTATACTCCATCCCTCCCGTCAAGTCAATATATGTAATTCTTTTAAACCAGGTACCACTAGCCTGTAACAAGTGAAATTTGCACTAAATTGGACTAAAACATAAGTCATTTCTTAATGTAAGTGGGAAGAATAATGTTCAGTCATCGTGGACATTTACTTGAATAATGACCAATGGTCTTATATTAGAAAATAAAAATGTATGACCTTATATTGAGAAAGTCATTAAGTTTTAATTTTATTTAGGTAAATTATCTCTGTAACAAATTCCAATTACATATAGTTCATTATTCTTTTTTAAACCCTTCAGGATTTTTACTAGATGGGACACCATTAGTCCACGGGTGGGAGAGTTCTTTTAATACTCTCTCCTTCTCTAAAAATACAAGAAGTTTTTATTTTTAAGATATTTAAGGAAAATATATTTTGGTATTGAGTTTTCACAAAAGTCTTTTAATGTGATTAGTAAAAGTATGATTTTATGGATAGATTGATATTGAGTAGATGTGATATACTTCCTCCGTCCAAAAAAAATGGGACGATTTGACTTTTTGGGAAATTAAGGGAGAGATATTTTGGTATTGACTTTCCAAAAATACCCTTGATGTGGGTAAGAGTAGGATGTGATGGGTAGATTATTAGAAAAAAAGTATGATGTGATAGGTAGGGCATGAAAAAGTAAGGGGTAAAAGTGATTTTTTAATAGAAATGTAACGGACTTTACGGGACGCAGTTTTTTCTAAACGTAACAAACTTTTTGGGACGGAGGGAGTATTAGGTAGGTTAAAGATTAATAGAGACGAAAGTTACTTTTTTAATAAAAATGAGAAATTTTTTTGTGGCGGATAAAAGACGAATGGAGAAATATTTTCAGGGACATAGGGAGAAGATAATATGAAATGATAAAAAAGTACTTTTTATTTCGGACATTTATTAAATGTAATTTTTTGTCCTTGTGATAGAATAAAGTAAATTATATATATATATATATATATATATATATATATATATATATATATATATATATATATATATATATATATATATATATATATATATATATATATATATATATATATATATATATATATATATATATCCTTCTACACATCAATTCTTTCTCAGAAAGAGCAGAAAATAAATATCCATAATAATGCCATCATCACTATTAAGCATAATTCCCAGTCCTAGCCATGGTTACGCCTCTGATCTGTTTGATAGGTATGAGGTTCAGACCATATCGCGCCTCCTTGACCACTACATACAAGCTGCCAACCGCAACTCCGCCGGGGAGACCAGTGATGATCATGGAAGGAGGAAGAATAGCAAGAAGAAGCCGCCGCCAACGCCGCCTGCAGCTAAGGGATTTTGGCTGCGGAGGTATGCGGTGGTGTGTGGCTCCGGCACCGCCGACGTGGTCCAAACTGCTGCTGCACGTATTGGCACCTCCTCATCGTTACGCTGGCTGCCGCGGCGGTAGAAATCAACTGCCGGTGGCTGCCCAGGCGGTAGAGATCAACTGAGATTAAGAGTAAAATTACTTAGGGCTGTTTGGCAACTTCTGAATAGGTAAGTGTTGAACCAGTAAGAGGTCTGAACCATTAAGTGCTGAACCAGTAACAGGTCTGAACCATTAAGAGCTAGTATATTGCTTAACTATTCAGAGGCAAATGTCTGATCAATTCAGATAAGAGGTCTTAACCATTCAGACTCTGTATAATACTTAACCATTCAGAGGCAAATCTCTTAACTATTTAGACATCTGAATCATTAAGAGACTGAAACAAACAGTCTGAACCATTAAGTGCTGAACCATTCAGACATCTGAACCATTAAGAGGCTAAAACAAACAGCCCCTTAATGTGCTCTATATCATAAAATTAAGAATACATATAATCTCTTTTCATCCACTTTTTCTTCTTGGGTCCTCTTACTGATTTTATCCACTTCCCTATTTTAGTACTCTCCTAGTTTTATAAAACAGTTCTTTTTTACTTTAAATTTTTTTGTTTCCCCAAAACAATTCCATTTGTAAAAAATGACTAATATATTTAAATTAAATTGTTGCAATATATTCCATTCAATTCACATTGATAGAATCATAGTTTTCAGAATCGGACCGGTGACCGAACCGGTCAAGGTACTGGTTCAACTGGTAGAACCGGTGGTTTAAATATATTTAAAAATTAAATAAATAATTTATAAAAAAGTACACCCACTTTCCTTCCACTTTTCTACTTTTTCATTTAGGGCGTGTGGGAGGGGGTATTTTGGGCAACTCAAAGCCAAAAAAGCCCCTCCTTATTTTGGGGTACTATTCCAAATGGGAAGTTTTATATGGGACGGAGGGAGTATTATATTTTTAAAATTAAAAAGGATTTTTTATACAATCCTTTTTTAATTATGAAATATTATAAAAGATTAAGTGAAAGTGTAACAAAAGCATCCTTGCTTTGATGGTTAGGAACTCAACCAAATGTCTACAAGGTCTTCGGTTCAAACCCCCATGGTTGCATGTTTTGGAAAAAATCGCAAAAAAACCGGTTCGGCCGTTTCGATGCATGTTACGGTCCAAAGGGCCGGACTAGACCGGTTGGACCACCGTTGGAAAAAATCGCAAAAAAACCGGTTCGGCCGTTTCGATGCATGTTACGGTCCAAAGGGCCGGACTAGACCGGTTGGACCACCGGTTCGCCGGTTCACGGTCCGAACTGGCCGGTCCGGTCCGGTTTTTAAAACTATGGATAGAATAAGTCATTTAAATGATTACCTCTTATTTTTTCTTCAATGATAAGGATATAATTAAAAGGTCAAATTATGAAAATAAATCCCTTTCAAGTCAAAACAAGAATTATTTTATGAAATGAAGGGAGTAAGTAATAGAGCAAACAACCCATATATGTAAAAACAAATATGGCGTTCCTTGCAAGGTAAGTCAGACAAAATTTTCCTTGTTGTGCCATATGGAGTTACTTAATCTGTTTATACTCGAATTATTTATTCAAACAGAGTTCACTACTCCGTGTCGGGTTTTTATTTTGAATTAAACCCATACGGAGTTAGCTACTGCATTCTGGTCTGAATTAATCCCAGACGGCGGAGTAGGGCACTCCATCTCCCATTAAAAATCCAGCCCATCCGTCTCCTTTCTACAGCACACCCCCCATCCACCCGTTATCCATCCAACAACACGAACAAAAAAACCGAAGGAGGAAGAGAGACCGCCGGAAGAAGGGAGTGGAAGAGGAAGAGGACGGAGATCGGACTATGCTACTCCGTTTTATGGAGGCATTTTCTATTTTTGACTTAATTTATATAAACATTTATCATTTTAAGATAATATTGAGATATATACTTTAATTTTATAAATTTGAGATTCATAAATCTATTTTCTCATAAACTATATAGAATTTATACCAAGTTCATGAAATTTTTTATTCTAACTGTTATATATTGTTACTTTCAAAGGTTTTGGATTTGATTCTTACAATAGATTTAATATTTCTTAAAATATTGATAAAAATTTGAATTTATTTTATTTTGAGATTGTAAGATAATTTTTAACATAATTAGTTACTTTATGACTTTTTTTATTATTATAATTGTCTTGTTTTGCTTTTATTAAAAAAATAAATAAATTGTTATGTTGTAATCTTTGAAGCAAATGAATTGTTATTAAACGAATAAATTGTTATGTTGTAATGTTTGAAGCAAATGGATGTTCATCCGGGACCAATTTCACGAAGATATCGTCTTCGCCACCTACGAATCAATTTCTAGAGCAAATTCCGAAGTAAGTTGCGGACCTTGATGTACAAAGCTGGTGAGGCCATGAGCAAAAGCGAAGTTGACCAGTTGCTTCTCCAAATAGCGTCCAAAAATCAATAAGCTTACAACTGGCTTAATGCTCTTTCAAAACACATGTGGGCATTGTCACATGATGAAGGTGGCGCATGTTATGGTATAATGACCACAAATTCATAAAAAAGCTTCAATAATGTCCTTAAGGGATGTCCTTGTTTGCCCCTTTATGCCATTGTGAAATTCACCTATGATAAATTGGAAAAACTTTTTGCTGAGAGGCGGACAAATGGATATGTATGACAGTAATCCGAGTACAATTTTCGTATGAATGTGTGGAAACATATTAGGAAAAATGAAGAAAATAGACTTTACTGTCGTGTTGTGAGCACCACGCACAACAAGGGATATACTTTGTGGTGGTGGATGGGTCGTCCAACATTGCTCAGTGGGCCACATTTACGGTGAACTTAAATGCACGAACATGTAGCTGTGGTCAATGGGTAACATTTCACATCCTGTGCAGTCATGTCCATGCAGTATGTCATTACTGAAGCATCACCGTGGATCATTTGATTCTGAATGTTTTTTCATATCAGTCTTACATCAACGCTTACTCGGGCATCATAATGCCGCTTCTAGAGAGGCTGAATGGCCTAGTACAGAATACGAGATAGGGAGACCAACGCTGCGACAGAGGATACCAACCGGCCGACTTACGAGAACCCGTTTTCCGAATAATATGGACTATCGACCACGGAGACGTCGCAAGGAGGAATAGCTATGTCATGGATTTCAGTTATATTTGAGTTTATGTATTATTAAATTCACAAAATAAGTTAGTCATAGATTGTGCTTTGTAATCTTATTTTTATGAATAATGTTTTTGTAGTCTATCAATAAATTTCTTGTATTTTTCTTCTTCTTTTAATTTCATTGTATAAAGCTCACTTAAAGTCAATAAATAGTAGTTTTATTTTTAAATTTTTTTATAGTATATTTTTTTGCATTTATATTTTCTTTATGTAAGTATCCTTTATTTTGTCTCATTGTATGTAATTAAATTATTTTCTTATAAGTAACAAAAATTAATCGATTTCATTGAGAAACTAAAAATTAAAATATTTTTATAAAAAATTTTTTTATAAAAAAAATGGAAAGGTTTAAAGCAAAAAATTGGAACAAAAAGGAAAAGTGGAACCATTTAATGATTAAGAAAATTATCAAAAAAAGAAGGAAATGAGGTAGCTTAATCCGTTTGCTAATTAAAGGAGAGAAACGCATTCGGCTACTCCGTTTGAATAAATAATAAGGCCAGAAACGGAGTGGCATACTCCGATGGGTTTTTTTTAAACAACAGAATATTCATTAATCATTCAAAAAAGAAACAAGAAAGTCTGGTGGCTAAGACTCCCACACATCAACACAAATCTCAGCCTATCTAGCAAGCACATGAGCCAAAATATTCTCACATCTACGAACAAAATGAAATTTGATATGCCTAAAGGAAGAAATGAGAGTAAAACCAGAGTCCAAATTTGAGCCCATGTAGGAAATTCACCCTAAGTAATAAGAGCCACAATGACAAAATGCCCTTTCAATCCAAACTAGCTAAACCTGAGACACCATATCTTATAGACCCCATTCCTCACCAAAATAGTCAAACTCGAGGTCATAAGTGTATTTCTTTCCGGAATCATTTTTTTCGACACCACTTCTTTGCCGGAGCGCAACATCATTTTGTCATCGGACATAGTTTCCTCGCCGGATCCCAACATCGTTCCCACCCCTCCAACATGTTCCAACTATGAAAATTCTCAAAGACGATGCTCTCCTTCCCTCTGATTCAATGCAACAGATCTAATGAATTCATGGACGATGATGTCTTCCATCTCTGTAATGTGAGCTCTAATGTAGTAGATCTGATGGATTCATCGGCGATGGTGTCCTCCCTCTCTCCTTAGGGCGATAGATCTGAAAGATTGATCGATGGAGAAGTCATTGATCAAAGCTTTATTATTATTTTTTTTCAAATTTTGTATTCACTCCAATTTTGAGGCTTTTTCTATTTTTTTCGTCCAGGTACTGCCTCGCCGGAGCACTTGTGGGCGTTTCCTTTGCCGTCTATGAGTCAAGATTGGTAGGGAAAAATCTAGTTTAGGCCTAATGGGTGGAGATACGGCAATGATGAGCCAGTTTGAGGGTATTAGGGTCATTTCCCTCACTTAGTTCTCTCTCCTTGATATTTGTGAAAAAACAAAGTGGACAAAGAGAGTGAGTGAGAGAGTGAGTGAGAGGAGTATAGGATTAACAAATTAATTAATTAAACCAATGCTTTGTACCTTGACTTGTATCGCTCACTATAAACTCGTTCTGCGTGGAATTTCTAGTTATACACACACACACACACACATACATATATATATATATATATATATATATATATATATATATATATATATATATATATTCCTTCCAATGTTAGTATCCAGTATTCCCTTTTTGACTTTTTCGCTGTTGAATGAAACATTGTCATGGAGAACTCTATTGTATTCCTTCCATATTTGCCAAGTAATTATCCCCAGAAGAATTCTTTGTGTAACACCCTCCGTCCTGCGAACCCGGTTCGCCGCGGCCCAACGAGCCGGAGGGGTTACTCTACGATTTTTAGGACCATCTACAGAAATCCTTGATATATATATATATATATATATATATATATATATATATATATATATATATATATATATATATAATAAATAAACTAAAACCGTTGGGGAATCTATTCCCTCAAAGAGATGTTTCGTTGCGGATCATTAAAAGAAAATAAATGTTAAGTCTTAAACAAAGAAAGTGCAACAAAGGTGGCTTCAAGCCTAAAATAGTTTATAATATTAAATGGAGAATAAATCGGGTCCTCGCCGTCGCCTATCCGCCGCCCTAATCTCCCAATCATCCGGGTCAAGCTCCATGATCATCTCGCCTACATGCGTATAGCAAAAACAATGCTATACGCTCAGCATAAGCTGAGTGGTAATCTAACAGTAGAACACATAGTACAATTCACATTGATATAAACATTATCGTACCTGTACTAAAGTGCGAGATACTACATACAATTTTGATAAATAAGAGTTGTATAAAATAAACAATGCAATGCCAAATAATCCATGATGCATGAGTTAGACTGCATAGGGACCCCTTGCCCTTCGGTGATCATCCCCACGGGGTGATGAGCGGAAGAAACCTTAGTCTCTGAAAGGAGACTAGAAACTGTGGGTGGTAACTGAATGCCTAGCTACCATGTACGTACACAAGCCCTCCTGATGAAACCACTTGGATCCCGAAGGCTCCTAGACAGTCCTGTGGAAGAGGCGCACTAGGTCTGACCTCTTGTCGCGGTATGCAAAGTATGACATGAGCCTATGACATGCGCCTAGGAAGTACATGATGATATGAATGCATTTCTTGAAAGAAGGTTAAGTTCAACAAATACAAATAAGTTTGATTCCGTATTAGTTTTCTTCCGAAAAATGCTTTGTTTCTCAAAATGATGGCCCTGGGTTCAGAACTGGCTGATAATCGATTATTCGTTGATGATAATCGATTATCAAGCATGGCAGTTCCTGTCCCAAGATTCTGCAGCCTCTGAGAGTTGATTGTCAATTCGGGACAATCGATTGTCATGTTGGTCCGTTCCAGAATTCAAAGTTCAGAGAGGTGTGATAATCAGTTATTGCTCTGTGATAATCGATTGTCAAGTGAGACCAACTCTGACTCAGAATTCAGCAGGGTCTGATAATCGATTATGACTTATGTGATAATCAATTGTCACACTTTGCTGATTAAACGAGAAGTCTAGTGTGGCCTGATAATCGATTGTCATGTCCTGTTAATCGATTATCAGAGCACGCAGGTTCCCATTTTGTTCGTCTAATTATAATCAAAATGTTGGAAGTTTGAAATAAACGTTTATGTTTTTATGTATAGTAGTTTATGAATTTATGGGCCGTTCTAAAGTGGCTATCTTAACAAGTTCGTAACTAAAAAATTCTAAGTAACGGAGAGGCCATGATAATGCAGACACTGTTAGTTGGTTTTAGTCGTTGTGCCCACGCCTTAGAGGGGGGGTGAATAAGGCGTTTAAAATCTTTTCGGAGTTTGATAAAAACAGTGTTGGCAAATTCGAAAGCAATATATAAAACGCAGAAATAAAAGCGTAAAGTAAAATGCACACCAATTTTATACTCGTTCGAGAACTCCCCACTCCAGTACCTCGAGGCTCCTCCTCAAGGATTTCCGAATCCACTAAGTTCCGGTCTCTTGAACTCCGTCAAAGCACCACACTAGTTTGGCAAACAACCCTTGCCAATAGGATTCACTCCGAGATTTCACCACGGCTATCTCGACCCGTTTACAACGAAGATTTAACGGCTATCTTCTACCATTTCCCCAAGGATTTCAAAGGCTATCCTTGAACCTTTACCCAAGGATTTATACGGATATCCTTAACCGTTACAACGTGAGAATTTAACGGTTATTCTCGACTGTAAGAAAGTGTGTTTGATGAACACAATCAAGGATTCTACACAACGGCTAGAATATTAAAATGAAGAACAAAACTTAGCCGGTGTAGAAGGAAATTATACTCTCTCAAAAATAAAATATAAACTTATGAATATGAGAGTATATAACTAGAAACACATGCTCAAAGTGTGTGTATAAAAATCAAGAGATTAAGGCTCTCAAAATAGCCAAAATATGAAGAATTAAGAATAGAAGTATAAACACACTTGAAATATTAAAGTAGGATGTTTGGAGCTTTGTTTCTCGAAGAAATATGAAGGATTAGGCTTGTATTTATAGTGGAAGATGTTAATTAGCCGTTGGGAGGTGATTAGGGTTGATTTAATTCAAAATCACAAATCAGGAATAGTAACCCTTTGGTCACAGTAGGCCGGTACCGTCCTCACGGTAGCAAGGTACTGTTGGAACGGTAGGGGGTACCATGAGTGGCGGTACCTCGGTACCGTGTAGCACAAAAAATCATTTCGGCTCTGGCGGAACTTGACCTTTAACGGTAGAGGGGTACCGTGCTAGCGGTATACCCTACCGTAAGGACGGTATAGGGTACTGCTAGGGGTACCGTGCCACTGTCCTGCATTTTCCAAAATTTCCGTAATCCTTCGTGTTTGAGTTTAAAACCTTTTGGATATTTGAAAATGTTTATGGGATGTTTTTAAACATATTTTGTGAGTTCTTTTGAGTTTGTGAATATAGGTATATAAAATCATATTCTTACATTGGTTTCTACCTATATTCTACGGTAGTTTAGTACGTGTTTCCACTTCATTCTTGAGAACCGAATCTTAATAGATTCTTGTTGTACCTGAAACACTTAAACAAACGTTTAGCTCTTATATTGTTTGTTAACATCAAAACACGAGGCTTAGCAAACCAAGGCTAACAGACACACGTAGGTTTAGCCGGGTAATTCTATGAATATAACGATATGAATGAACTATGAATTCTAAAGTTAGAGGGCAACGTACTCACCTATAAACGAATGGGTTGACGGAAGGTACGAGATGAACGAACGGATGAACAACGAACAACAAACGACGAACGACGAACGACCTCGCGCATAAACCTCCTTCTCTTCTTCCTTCTTCTCCATCTACTCGCCGAAATTCCCTCCTTGGTCTGCTGCTGTTTAGCCGAACAAGCGAAGGGAGAGGGAGAGTTGAGTGTGTGAGTGGGGGGTTACAAAATGTGGTGGATGAAGGGAATGGGATGGGTTTAAATTGAAATGGAAAATAATGGGGAATAAAGAATGGATTAAATGGGAGAATGAATGGTGATGAGTGGGTGTGTGGCGTGTGAATTAATATTGGGGGTTACCTCTCTAAATTTGTTCCGTTGTGAAAAATCTAAGTTGAACAGTACACGCTCCCCCCCCCCCCGAACGGGTCCAAATCGATATC